TCTATTCTGTTATTTTGAAGGGAGGGCAGTTTTTAATTTATTTAATTGGATTGATTATTCTTACATGTTTTTTGCTTATTTATGCTTATTTTGATTAGTTTTAACAGTTATTTTAGCGGGGGCGATTTGTAAATTTGTTTATTTATTTATTTATTTGGATTAATTTTTATTAGCTTTTTATTTATTTACTTCTATTGGGTCTTCGATTTTTGAGTAACGTAGTGATGTTTTATATATATATATATATATATATATATATATATATATGAATGTTTCAATGTTAGGTAGGTCTAACAATTGAGCGATATATTGACTGCTAAAGAAATCCATGCTCTGGATGTCAGCGAGTTCAGTGACACTTAATAAATATTAACTCATAAACAATTTTAATAAATATCATTTACTAGGTCCCTAGCACCTACCTAACAAATAAATATTATGAATTTCAGAGTTTAGGCGAAGACGTTTGAAGTATATAGTTGAAGTACAATTTAGAAGGTACTAGAAACCCAATCCTAAAAAGGAGGCAAGAGATAAAACTCTACTCCTGTTCAAAAGAGCTAGGAAGAATGTGAGTCTCGCATCACGAGAAAAAATATACAAAAAAAAAAAAAAAAATAGTAAAAATTTCAGAGTTTAGGTGAAGACGTTATGAGTATAGAACTGAAGTAGAATTTCGAAGGAACCGGAAATCCAATCCTAAAGAGGAAGCTATGTTAAACCTCTACTCCTATTCAAAAGACCGGGGATGAGTTTAAACCGGGCGATAGGCGAACCTATCTACTCCTACTGTCGAGATTATGAAATGGACAAAGTCCGACAATTATTTTAAGACGTATCTGCTCATTTATGCACTTAAATATTTGTATCTATAAAAAGAATGTATAAACATAAAATGTCTTAAAATAATTGTCGGAAATTCTCCATTTTATAAAGTGTGACGTCATTTGTTTACATTTGGATACACCATGAGCAGATATGAATGTACGTGTGAGAATCATGGAAGATTGTAGTTTAAATACAGTAAAATAGACCTTACTAACCGAAAGCTCCTCTGTGGCCGAATCGGTCAAAAGCACGTCAGGCTAAATGACGGTTCCGTATAAGATACAGGTTCGAGTCCTGTCGAAGGACTAATATTTTCTATGAAAATTTCTCGGACATTCAGGCCAGTAAATGTTGTTTAATACTGTTTATTATAAACAGAGCATTTACTTAAATATTTGTATGGATAAAAAGAATATAGAAACATAAAAATATCTTAAAACAATTTTCGGACTTTATCCATTAAATGACTTTCATTACATTTCGACAGCGAAAGTATAAGTTAGAAAATATAGACTGCGTAAAGTTATAATATTTATAAAAGGGGCAATTATGAATTGCTTTGCTTAAGGGCCTCCGTGGCTGAAATGATAATGACCCGCTCCTCTCTATCTATTTCTGTCTGTCACCTACAGTTTTCTAAAAATTTAAATGCAACGTCAGTTTTCCACAAACCTCTACCAATTACTGCGCAGTCTTTACTTTTCGGTCTCGATAGAGTCAAAAAGAGTCTCCGCGCTCTTGTGGGTGACAAATTTGCAGTCTAAAGCACCTTTCTTACAGACGAAATGTAGCAAGCCTCGTCGCTATTTCCACGCAGATTGCTCTGATGAACTACGTTTTTTAGTATCAGCAGTTTTAACCTTGACGTCTAAGACCCAACATTCCCTGCACATTGTAGCGAACTAACCTCATTCCTTTCTTATTTTCGTTTTTGCTCAGTGGGTGAGGCAGATCCAGCGTTTTCTAACCCAAGATGAGTGTTCGGTTCATCTCGTTGAGCCATAGCCAAATAGGAAACCCATGCAGTGTAAACAACTCTCTTCATTTGCTTTAAAGAAGGCTAGTCCCGATAGAGTCGAAAAACGTCTCCACGCCAATGTGGGTGAGATATTAAATTTCCACCCTACAACCTCTTTCTTAAAGACGAAATGTCTCAAGCCTCGCCACTGTTTTTATGCAAAGTGCTCAGGCGAACTACATTCCTTAGTTCCAGCAGTTTTAACCTTCATGTCGAAGACCCACCATAACATGCACATTTTAGCGAACCAAACTCGTTCGTTTCGTATTCCACAGGAGCAGCTTCTTCCCATGGCCCGATGCTTAGTTTTCCTGATCGATGCAATTTTAACCTTTTCAAGTCTAGACTTAACCATTTTTCTTTTCAACATATCCCCATAATCTGTGCCTTTTCCTCTGTAATCCTCTATCTCAAGTGGCTCTTGGACATTGTACACGGTAAACATTGTACAATAATATCTACAAATTATCAAGAACATATATTTCTATATGTACGTTTTCACTTTAAATTTCCACTCATAAAGGTTCTAACCAGACTCGACGTTGCTTAACTACAACCGGCAACCGGTCTTTCAACTTCATGTGGCCGTAAGATATATATATATATATACTGATATGTCCCGTAAAGGGCTATATTTGAACGAAGTAGCTAAGTGGTTTTGGCTACTATAACCAAGTAGAATAGGGTAGCAATAATCGACTGGTACGCGTGGTAGTCGCAGGTAAGAAGTGTAAATCAATGGCGTAGTCCAATGGGCGTCGTTATAGACTTAGCTCTCAGACTAAGGCTCTTGACTTCTGAATCTCCTACACATCCGTCGATATTTATGACGGACACCAGCCAATCACACTCCAGTATGGGGAAACACCTGTGTATGCGTATTCCATTATATATATATATATATATATATATATATATATATATATATATATATATATATATATATATATGAAAACTTACACTAGTGTTAAATATGTATAAAAGAAAAACATAGAAAAAATATTAGCAGAAAAATGCTGGTATACCCTGATGAGTGGACAGATAGGTGTGTCTACGAAAGTTAGATCAGGAGGCTAAAGGTAACATCAATAAGCTAAGTGACAAAATTATACGCACATTAATCAAATATATATATATATATATATATATATATGAAGAAAAATATACAGAAAAAACAAACAAAAATCTTAATATGCAATTATGCTGTATTAATGTTAATATAAAGTCAACGTCGGACGTTTCGATCTATTTAAGACCATCTTCATGGACATTTTCATTTAAACATAATTAACATTAGAACATATAAAAATTTAACACAAAAGACGATGGACATAAGAGCACAACTAATCCAAACAGATAACTGAAATTTTTATATAAGATCAGCGTTCCGTTGAAATATGATCACGTCGTCGTCACGTGGGCGATGTTGTGAAAACGTATCCGAAGATGATTTCCAAATATTAAAATATTAAAAAAGTCGATTGAACTATTTTATATAAACAGTTCAAGAAATCCCTTCCGTTGATATATGAAGATGGGTCACTTAATCGTGAAATTTAATTTTCTTGGGAGCTTTGAATTAATAAAAATATGATATATGTTATTTTGCTTTCACAATTGCATACATGGTAGATGATACTCAGATTTTATGCATATATAGTGAAAATAATTACTAGAGGTTTTATCTTATAGTTTTGTAGAATTTATATTTTGGATTACACTTTGAATTCTTTAAGAGATTATAGGATATTATATGGAATAAGGTAATGAAATTTCTTCATGTTGTTTGTTGGTTAGTCAATTTCGTTTAGCAGCTATGACTTATTTAATATCGAAATCTCAATATTTTGAACACAATTTTATGACTTCAAGTAAATATATTTAAAATTCTAGTTGATGCATTGTATGCCTTGAACAACAGATAAAATGTATTGTTGGTCACTTTTTATATAAAAGTGTATTGATGGTACTTTTACTGTAAAAAATGTAATTTTTATACTTTCATAGTGTTTTGTTTTTTAAAGCTAGAGTAACATGGCCAAAATTTAAGACAACCATGACAAAAAAATAACATTTTTCTATTACTGAAATATACAGCATCTTATTGCAGAATTTTATATATATATATATATATATATATATATATATATATATATATATATATATATATGTTCATTGTTCGGTTAGTCAGTTTCGTTTAGCGGCTTATTTAATACCGAAATCTAAATATTTTGAGCACAATTTTATGATTTCAAGTAAATATATTTAAAATACTAGTAGATACATTGGATGTCTTCAACTACAGATAAAATGTATTGTTGGTTACTTTTTATATAAAAGTGTCATGAAATTTTATCATGTTTATTGTTTGGTTGTGTCGCGGCATATCAATCTCTATGAGTTATACGCAAATTAAAGCGTTTGAAAAATCAAACTTGACTGGAAGGCAAGAAAGCGGATGAGAGTTCCACAAGTCCCATAAGCTGTAGTCATAGAACTTACGATGACATCTAGCTATTTCAACCGTAAAATGACGAGATCTTGCTACCAATTTAATACTGCATTTAACTTTAAAGTCTAGATAGCATTGAGGTGCGTTCATCAGAAGAATTACCATGAAAATATTTATAGAAAAAAGTACGGGGAATCTCCGCTATAGCTGTAGGAAGGTGACTGAAACCGAGATGCCATGTCAGGACCAATAACATTGCAGATTCTTTAGATTTTATGAGGAATCTCTAAATATATAGCAAGAGCGCCAGACTAAATGTCCTCCTGGGTATGACGATAAACTACGTCCAGCAGTAAGGCCTCTGATCAGGAGGTTTTGAGGAGCGTGGAACCACCACTTAATTGCTGGTGTTCCCAGGTCCACCCTGACCCGGGGTGGTAGCACCTGTTAGGGTCGCAGATATGGGCAAATAGTTAACCCCCAAACTGGGGTCAAAACTCTATGAAAGTGTTAAAAGAGGTTTTAACACTAGAAATATTTTATAAAAAAAATATTGCCAGCAATACATTATTACTAGCTATACGTTTTTGAAGAAAACATTACTAGCTATACAAGAAAAAAAAATATTACCAACAATAAAGATCTTGTCGGCATTACATAACCCATTGAGGGTGATATACCGTAAAGCAAAACAAACCAAACCAATAGATAGATAGTAATAGACTGCGACAGATAGATAGATAATATGAATAGACTGAGATAGATAGATAGATAGATAGATAGATAGATAGATAGATAGATAGATAGATAGATAAAAAGAATATTAGCAGTAATAAAAATCTTGTCGGCTTTTAATAACCCAATTGAGTTTGATATGCTGTAAAACAAAACCATCCAAATCAAACCGAACCAAACCAAACCAAGCCAGACTAAATGTGGCAGCAATATTCAAAGCAAGGTCTAAAGGTCTACTTGTAAATATGGTTAAATTCCTCAGAATAATTCTGATGATAAGAGAATTTGGATAAAAAGAATTCAATAGGAAAACAGTTTTCCTTTGTCATTGACGACACGTTTTGTCAAGCTGAATTTATCAAGGTAAATTTTGGAAAATATATTTCTTATTCATTTCCAATTGTTTTCTTTTTATCCAAATTGTCTTATCATCAGAATTATTTTGAGAAATTTAAGAATATATCGACATGGAAAAATAAAACAAGTTTTTAGTAAAAATATATATATATATATATATATATATATACTAACGTCCAGAAGGAGGTTTACACAGGAGTGTTCCTTTATATTTGAATTTAATGTAACTAAAAAAATTTCGCTTTTAAACTAGCCTTGATGAAGTAAGATTGATGAAACGTGACGAGAATGACTAAAAATATATATTTTCCAATTGTCTTCGTTTTATCCAACTTGTAAATATGTAAAATAGATTCTGGCGAGGCAAAAATATGTCTAACCCGACACAGAAAACAAACAAGATCTGTAGAATAAATTTGCTTACAGAACCTGGTGTTATCAAGCAGTCTGTGGAATCGTGAATTCCACCCTTTTGCGTGTATGCGCGCCCGCGTATTGCACCCCTTCCTTTCACAATTGCTTAGATATAGCAGTAACTGTCGACGTGAGGAAGGCTGGCTAGCTACTCCTGATACTGTCTAGGATCAGAATTTGAATTTTTTCCCGCGCGTGTCCTGACGTCACAGACGAGCTGCGTTTTCAAGTTAGTCGCCGCCCGATTTTCAAACTAGATGGTTGACTCATTTATTCCGTGCCCCTAACCCATACGCGGGCCGGAATATCTTAACTAACCAAAATTTCAACATGTCGTGTGATTACAACTTTTCTTCAAACAACTCGTTTGAACCTTCTTCCGTTTTTCTACTAGAAAACGTTGAATATCGACACTGTCGACATCACACTTTTCCAAGACCAAATTCCTCGTCTTGAAGTGAACAACATGTTTGAACCTTCTTCATGTTCTACCAGAATCTACGACATGGTCGTCACCACACATTTCCAAGACCAATTCCTCGTCTTGATGCGAACAACTTTCGAACTTCCATTTTCTACCAGAATCTACGACACTGTCGTCACCACACTTTTCCAAGACCAAATTCCTCGTCTTGATGCGAACAACTCAGAATTTTCCTTCACTGAAGATTGATGAACTTTTCACACACCTCTTTTGTATTCTAACCTTTACGAACCAGTTTTAAAAAAAAGATAAAATTACACACTCATTATTAAACCTCGCAGTGAATATTTTTCCTTGTTGTCTATGCTTACACCTTTTGTACAAGAAGACTACATTCCATAACTTTCATTCTGAAGAAACTTTTCCCGCCTTAGCCATTTTGGTTTTGTTTTGGCGCGGAACTTTAACATTTTATTAGTCTCTACATATTACTAACAGCCTACAGGCTAAAAACAGTCCTTACCTTTTTTGATAGTCTCCACTGTTGAGACAAGATTATTTGTTATTAAAATAAAATTTCTTATTGTTTTCCACCAGACTCATTTTGTCGTTTTATCCTGGCTATCTATATTTTACTATTTTTGTGCATGTATTAAATGACCTCTTTTCCTCACTAAAGATCACTCATTTAATATTCTTACTTTATTTGTGGATTCGGTAGTCATAAGTAGTATCTGGCACAAGGCCACCTTTTAATAAATCAGCACTGCATGCTACCGGGTCTGCAACAAGTCTCACATCTATTTCCCCGACTCGGCGTTGCTTAACTTCGTCTGCAAGAAAGAACTAATATTTTCCGCTTTTAGTTACAATAAATTCAAAATATTAAAAAGTGAACGCTCCAGTGTAAGCCTCCATCTGGATATTGGTAACTTTGGAAATTATGGAAAACTAAAAAAATTCTTAGTAAAAAAAAAAAGAAAAAGTTAGCGATATTCAGAAAGAGGCTCATATAGGAGCGTTCCCTTTTTAATTCAAAATATTAAAAACGTAACGCTCCTGTGTAAGCCTCGTTCTGGATATTGGTAACTTTTCTTTCTTTTTTTTCCTTTTTTTTTTTTTTTTTACAAAGAATTTGTTTTAGTTTTCCATGTCGACATATTGCTAAATTTCTCAGAATAATAATGATAAAACACTTTGAATAAAAAGAAGACAATTGGAAAATATATTTCTTAGTCGTTGCTGACGGTTTCGTCAACCCGACATTAACATTTCGCATTTAAATTTGCCTTGATAAAGTCGGATCGAAGAAGCACGTTGGCAATGACTAAAATATATATTTTCCAATTGTCTTCTTTTTATCCAACTTGTAAATATGTAAGATAGATTCTGGCATGACAAAAAAAAACAATCTAACACGATACAAGGAACCAACAAGAACTGTAAAATAAATCTGCTTACAGAACCCGACATACTTATCTAAGTATTGCCCGTATTCGGCGTTGCTTAACTTCGTCTGCAAACGAGAACTGATATTTTCTGCTTGATTGAATCGTAGGTCAATTATGAAAAATTATATTCTTAAAAAAAAAAAGCACTAGTTGTGATTATTATATTCATTGTGAAAAGAATTAATAGTTAGCGTACAAGGTGACTGGGTATATAAGACGACCCCCCCCCTCAAGTTAAAATCTAGGTTTCGGGCTATATTCAACGTACAAGACGACGCCCTAAAATCGTATTTTAAAATGTATCGTATTGGATTAATTAAATAAATTCAGTGCGCACATAAGTTCTTTTCATTCTATAATTAAAAAAAAGTTTATAAAGTCTGTCGGTGGTTTGGGATTATTGTTGCCGTGCAATCATAGCACATACTGTATAAGGTAAGTGTACTTTTATTATACAACACTTTTATTATTTTATTATAATAATGTGAATTAAGTTGTTTCAGTAGGAAATATTTGTATCCATAGTAACCAAGGCCTGAATGTGTTATTCCCCGTTAAACATCCACTGTTCTCGAATGCGATCTATAAAAGGCTAAACACAACTGCAACGCTAACAACTAAACATAAACCACAACGATTTAAGGTAAATATTTTTATACCTGGATTATAAGACGGAGCACTATTTTAGAGCGGATTTTTTAATGTTAAAAGTTCGACTTTTACGCCGATATATACGGCAATAGATAAATGTAAACCATTGTTTATCGTATATCTACTCTGAGGTTTCATCCACTCTACAGGAGACTTGATTGTAAAATTGAAATTATTTTCAGGTCATGTAATTTGTTTCAAGGTTTGAATGATTTTATATGTCAGTTGTTGGTGGTTTATTTAAATAGAGACCACGTAAGATATTTCATATATATATATATATATATATATATATATATATATATATAATATATATATATATATATATATAGAAAGACAGAGCGAGAAAAGACAATGAGACTGAGAGAGAGAGAGAGTGTGTGTGTTTAAGAGAGAGAGAGAGAGAGAATGTGCGACATAGAGAAAAAGTGAGTGAGAGAGAAAGAAAATTATCAAAATATAGACGCAAAAATATACTTTTTGTCTCTCCGACTACCTCTATGAACAAATGAAGAGATACAGTATATATATATATATATATATATATATATATATATATATATATATATATATAGAGAGAGAGAGAGAGAGAGATAGAATTATCTAAATATGGGCACAAAAACATATTTTTCTCTCTCTCCCTACATCTATGATCATAGGAAGAGATATAGAAAGACATATATTGAGAGAGTGAAAAGGGAGAGCGAGAAAATTATTGACATATTGGCGCAAAAATATATATTTGTCTCTCTGCGTACCTCTATGAACAGAGGAGGAGATATAGAAAATATATTTTGTGTGTGTGTGTGTGTGTGTGTGTGTGTGTGTGTGTGAGAGAGAGAAAAATTATCGAAATATAGACGCAGAAACTTACTTTTGTATCTCTTCCTTCCTCTATGAACAGATGAAAAGATATAGAAATATATATATATATATATATATATATATATATATATATATATATATATATATATGTATGTGTGAGAGAGAGAATGAGTAAAAGAGAGAAAATTACTGAAATATAGACGCAAAAATATGTCTCTCTGCTTGTATGAACAGAGGAAGAGATAGAGAAAGATATATATATATATATATATATATATATATATATTGAGAGAGAGAGAGAAAGAGAGAAAATTATCGAAATATAGACGCAGAAATATACTTTTGCATCTCCGACTACCTCTATGAACAGATGAAAATTTATAGAAATCTATCTATCTATCTATCTATCTATATTTTTAACAGATGTACATATATATATATATATATATATATATATATATATATATATATATATATATATATATATATTATATATATGTACATCTGTTCATATATATATATATGTATACATATATATATATAGAGAGAGAGAGAGAGTGAAAAGGGAGAGCGCGAAAATTATCGTAATAAACGCAAAAATATATATTTGTGTCTCTGCCTGTATGAATAGCGGAAAAGATAGAGAAAAATATATATTGAGAGAGAGTGAGAGAAAGTTGGAGAAGGAGAGAGAGAGAGAGCGTGGAATAGATGGAAATAAGAAAAGCTAAAGAGCTGGTGGGGTCTTCTATTCTGATAAAATTCATGCAGCCACATCAATTGTTTTCATTGACAGGACGGACATACAAGAAGGACTTAGTTTACGATTTACCTGCTATCGATCAATTTTCCTTCACTGGACACTAACGGATGGTTCATTAGAAATACATTCAAAACTCTCTGGCCAGAATACAACCTGTCTAAGAATTCTGTCAGATTTTCAAAGCCTTTTGCTCCATCAGCCGCCTCAAACTGTCTCAGATTCCATTAC